CAGTCCAGTGTTAGATGAACAGGCCTCATCGCGTGCGTTGGCAGCCAGTGACCTTCCCGAAAGCCTTGCGTTTCGACAGAGTCTCCAGAGGAGAGAGCAGGCCCACGTGGCCTTTGTTCAAGCCGACAATGACATGATAACTCCTACAGGCGAGCTTTGCTTCGGAAATCAAGGGCCATGTTGCAAACCTATGAAGCAACGCAAACGCCGAGATTGCCCCGCTTCCTGTCTGGAGATCAAGGATTTTGCAGCGGCCAAGTCAATGTAGGCAACACGCTTTGTGAACCTACCTAGGCCCGACCTGTCCAACCCCACTACTCCTACGGAACTGTAACTGTAAGCCCTGTTCTCAGCAGCATCAGAGTTGAATGGTTCCGCGACACATGCCAACCCCCCGACCTACACCCGGGCGATGATCTACCTGACCAACAGTCATCTGCTGCTGTTGCCGCACGGATTGCCATTCTCTCATTGAGGCTGACCGAAAGGTGTTCTGGAGACGCCCTAACAAGCTGACCACATTGATCCTCTTATCTCACGCTGGCCCGTGCCAGCGCCCCCTTCTACCTCAAGTCCGGTGCCATACTTTGTGACGGCGCCAACACAAGACCAAATCCCCTCTGGGAAGTTGCTATGGGCCCAGGACTCACTCTGACATGGAATCAAGGTCGGCAATCAGGCAGGAGGTCAGGCGCCTTCAGCCAAGAGTTCCGCCCGTGGCACAGCCAGGTGTCATACTTCAAGACCTGAGGATTGCTACGATTCTCAATGAGTTGAATGCTGTGAACGCCTTGAGCCTCTCCGCAAGTATGAGCCCAGTTCTTGACTTTGTCATGCCAGCGCTGATCCTCCTGATCGTGTTTGTGTTTGGAATGGTCATCCAGGGTTGTAAGGCCGGTGAGATGACTGCAATTGCCGCCTGTATTGAGTTGTGGTTTGTGTAATTAATCTAGTTGCAGGGTTGGTTGAGCGGCCGCTCCAAGGGTTCAGTCTGGTTGGACGAGTCGTTGCCGCCACGAAGCACGCTTGGGTTTGACCTTGGTGAACCAGGTCCAAGCTGATGTTCATGATCCAAATGATGAGCAGGCTCAGCCACAGGTGTGACGTTCCGCAGGAAGTGCAGGACAGGCTTAATGCGTGGCTGTTCGAACATGTTGCGTTGCCAGCTCCGTAACTGCGCTGCGCTGCTCGTAAGGAGGATTTGTATAGGTCTCAGTCAGGCAGATGAGATCAGTCGCATAGGGACATAGAGCTGGCTGAAGCAGTCCAACCTAGATTTGAACCGTGCAGAGTGTGTTGTAGAACTTGAGGATGTTCATGATGCTGACTGGCCTGGTGACATGTGTCGGGCAGCGACAAGCCGGTAAAGCTGCAGCTGTGATACCAATCCTAGTCATGGGGCATATCTTGAATGCAGACAGCTTGAATTATGCTGATGATGCGTTCTTGTGGTGACTCTCTTTGAAGGGTTTGGGAGGCACCAATAATCTTGAAATAACGTCGTGTGCTATCAATCCCTGTTGCCGCGCAACCAATGTGTGATCGAACATTATGTTCTTTCAGCTGGTCACGCTCCATAAGCCATAAGCTTTGACTTGGGGCCTATCTTAACCTCAGCCACGAGGTTGTAAATTATCACGGAAAAGTTGATTAAGATATTTTTCATTACGGGTTGTGATGACCAAGTAGCTGCATCCAGGTGAGCTGGAGTGGAAAGATCATGATGATTGCCGCTTGAGGCATGGTGGCAATGGGGTCCGCTTGCCTCAGTCAAGCTTTCAGCTTGCGCAGCAATAGACTTGTAGGCGTGGTTGTAAACAATTTGGAGTGCAGCCAACAGTGCTGTTTGTCCAAGAACAATTTCATCAACAGTGTTGTGCTTTGAATGCCGACGTAGCTGTGTGCGGCGCGGGCAGGTGCCATCCAGGAGATCCTCGCAGCTTCGCGGCAGCAAGTCATATGTCGGCGTAAGAGACGCAAGCGCAGAGTGAAGGGTCAATGGATCAAAAGTTGATTCTTGTTCATGATGGTTTAAACACCAACGTGGGCTACCGTTTTGTTTCCCGAAGTTGGGGAGCTTGTGTGGCTTGGCTGTCTTGGCTGAACTGTCTTCTCATCTTTGATATCGGTGGTTACTTACAGGAATCAAGCTCTGGGAGTAGTTGCCATTTGCCGCCTGGGGGTGCTGCGTTTCAATCCAAAAGGACACGCGGGGCGGCGCTAAGGGAAAATAATTCTGCTTCCCAAGGCGCACCTCTTCGGCCAGGTCCCCCTTGGGGACAGTGCCGCGTTTCAGTGTTTCTGTTTTTGGGTTAGTTTTTCAAGGCTGCGTTTTTGTCGCCCTTCTTCCCTACCACTGCCCCCTGCCGTCGTTGCGACTTCTGCAATCTGGGCCGTTGCTGCGCCGTCCTGCCCTGGGTACTTTCCCACGCTAGACATCATGTGCTCTTTGTGTTGATGCGGTTGCCCTTGTGGCGTGCCTGTTTGCTTTGTTCCCTAGCATTGGTTGTGCGTTGTGTTCCGTGACAGGTTTGTTCTTCTTGCGGCGTTCCGGGCTGCCAAGCCCACTGCGGCTACCTGTGCAGCTCTCCATGCTGCTGCCGCTTCTCGGCGTTTGCGTGTGCAATAGTTGCGGCTACTCATTGTTCAGCGATTTTCTATGTGTGTTTTTTTTTGGGGGGTGGTGCGGGGGAGGGTTTTGCTTGGCCAAGGGCTTGTTTTTGGCAACAGTATTTTGTTTTTCTTCGTTGACACCAACAAGTTTTCTTGCAAGTCATGTGCATTCCGTGCAGCTGCATGCAATTAGAGATTTGTGCTATTCGAAGCATTGAGAATTTGAGCCCGATTTTTTCTTTTTCTTTCGAACGGCAGTTGTTTCCCATGACATAAACCAGCCATATCCTAAAATTTAAGAATCGTGACCAGCATTCAACTACAGGCATTTTGTTTGCTTGCGAAGCAGCTGGGCCCCCTCCCGGGCTCCCATCAAAAATGGAGTATCGGTTTCCAGCCACAGTGTACTAAACCATTTTTATAAGTTATAAGCCTGGAAATCTTAGCATGCTGATATGGCACAAGCCGACATGCAGCGTTTGGCTCCACATGGTTTCCATTATTCACATGTGTAGCCTTTTATGTCGATTCGACATTGCTTGCTGGATGAACCTCATGGAAGGTTCATTAAGCTTCTGGCAGGAACGTCACAAGCATGGCGTAACCAAAGGGCAGTGAATCAGCTTGGGGTTTGCATGCAGCAGCTTTTGCACTGTTTTTTTTTTAGGTCATGTCATCTATGCAATGTGAATTTGGTCGTCCTTGCAAATTTTTGTTTGTCGCAAGGGTATTGTGGCAACATAAGCCGCAATACTTTCAGTCAAATTCCGCAGTAACGAATGTTATCACAGTTGACAGTTTGTTGTTCTGCAGTCCATGAAGTTTTGGCTTGTTTTGCTGTGCAATGGCCGTCGCCGACATATGGGCAAACAGGGCCTTTCTACTTCTGGCATTGGTCCAATTCAACCTGGCTGCTTGCTTTGCTACCGTCACATGTTGTGATAGATCTCAACGTCAACACGTTCACGTTTTCAGGTTTGAGTTTGGATAAACAAACGCAACGCTCCGTTTGCAACATTCCGTAAACTGGAAGCTGTACACCCGTTGCTTTAACAAGCCCGAATCACTACACTTGAAATTTCAATTGAAGCCTTTACCTTCAAAACTTACGCCTTCAAGGTTAGCCGCCAGGAACAAAACTCCTGATCCCTGAAGCCGTGAACCCTCAGCCCCCAAAACGCAAGGTGCAAGCCGACACTGATGAGTGTGCAGCTGTCCAGGCCTTTCCAAACAACGAAAATCCATGTATGTGTTGTTTCACAGCTTCAAATTCAGGGTTCAGGAACATACAGATGTGGTTGCAAGTGAATGGTTTGAATGGCTAACAAATGTTCGCCCTGCACGCGCCGTTGTAAAATGGCATATGGCATATGTCGTCATGTTTCGGCAACCCACTCCTCCATCGCCCCCCCATGGTATGGTGGTTTTATGATACGTATAATGTACACCCCTTCCCCGTGGTCCTGTGGCCTGTGGTCTGGGTATTGTGGTTTGGGCAAAGAGGGCCTAAAAAAGGCTTATAGTGCTTGTGTGGGTTTACAACTGAGGCCCTCTGTGTGGTCCCGTGGCCTTTGTTCTGGGACTTGTTGTTTACATTCGGTTTGTGGAAGGTCTACACAATGATTATAGTGTTTATAACGGGCTCAGATCCACTTCATAGAAGTTTTTCATGAAGGTTTACAGAAGGCTCATGGTTTTATTGAAATTCTGTTTAAAATCAGGACCACGGCGATCCCTTTGATTGCGTATTTAAAAAAATTCGGCAACAACATGAGGTTTTTCATTGTTATGACCGATGCAATCATCGTCACGAGGCCCATCCCGATCCCGGAAATTGTTGGTACTTTTGACACGTGATGAAGTCATGAGGTTTAAGCAATGAAGCAATTTCGAGGGTCGGGTTTCGAAGCACCAAAGACGACAGCTACAAGGATAGCGACCCCAAGAGACCCCATTGCAGTGACGGATGGCACATGTGAAGAATACCAAGGGGGTGTGGGGCCGGGGTGTTAGCATTTCGGGTGGCTGGGAACGCGTAGCTCGAGACCATAAGTGTACATCTCGTCCTGGACTCGTTCCCTTATAGTTTCAAGGCTTTTGTCATTTTGAACCTTTAAAGACCTGTATAAACTGTAAGCCTGAAACTAAAAGTCTCGACCCGGTACTTCCCCACTAGGCGAAGCTGCTTTGGATTCATGGACGTGTGTTTTAGTGGATGTAGGGTTCCGGGCGGTTTTTTTTGGAGTTGCAAAGTTTGGAAGTCACAGGAGTAAGGGCTAAGGCAACGTCGTTTCAATTACAACAATACAAGCAGTGCAAGACGATGATCAGCCATGACAATCATTCGGGCCGCATCCTAAGCCCCAATTTTACGTATCAATCCTGAGGTCGGAACCCCATGCGTTCGAGGACTCGACAGCACATCGCCTGAATTCCTAGCCTTCATGAAGGAGGTTGACACAAAGATGGTCCCCATCAAAAAGCCTTATTTCCCAAACCAGCGGTGCCTTGATATGATGAGGCAGCTCGCGGCGACGCAAGGAATCTTAAAAGGACGAATTGACATACACACAGGTGCATTCTTCCAAAAGGGAGGCTTCGACAAGAGTTCCTCTTCTGACCTTATACGAAAGTTGCGTCTGGCACCAATGTCTTTCTTGGCAACGCAGGATCTCAAAAAAGTCAAGCTCCATTTTTGGTCGAACCTCAGCCCGGACAGCTCCGAGGTGCAGGAAATCTTCGGTCCGCTCCTTCAAAACCCAGCTTATGCAAGCAGCATTGAACTCAGCCAGTTCATTCCGGATCAGGAGTGTTCACGAGTTTTGCCATCATCGCCAGGGGTGGGTTCCACCCTCTGCAAGATTTACAAAGCACAGACAGATCCTACCTCCACTTCAGACCTCATGCGGGTGACGGTGCTCCACAACTATGGCGGCGCCTGGATCGACAGTGATGTTCTACTTATTCAAGATATGGCGCCGATTCTCGAGGAGGATGGTTCTGGATCATGGACATGTCAAGTTATGAGCGTTTCTTGACCTTGCAAAATTTTCCATATGCGTGCCGCAGGACTGGGCATACCTTGGGCAGGAGGACTTCGTGAACAATGCCGTGATGTCAACATCCAAACCTTGCTCGCCTTTCATGCAAGCTTACCTGTCCTATGTGGTGGGCAAGAAGCTGGTGGCAGCCCACTATGCGCATCTTGATTCAGCATTGAGCAGTTTTGGAGATTGGAATGTTCTTTCTGTGAAAGGCAAGCCTTTCATTCCGAACCAGGGTGTAGACTGCACACATAATCAATACTCATGGCTCCTGAAGAACAACATCATTCCTTCGAGGTATGTGAAGCATTTCGGTTTTTGTCGGTTCAGCGGCTCTCGTGGTTTTGATAGTGTTTCAAACAAGCGTGCTTGAGCTAGTGATGGAAAACATTGTTCTACAGACAAAGTCCACAATGGTTCCTACATAGCCATCATGAAAGAAACTGCAGATTCTTTGACTGCCGACAGGCCTGCTGTAAGCCAAAGCTTGCCCACATACCTTGAACAATACCTGTGCTATACGTCGAATCCTTTTCTAAGTAGTCCAGTAGATTTTGATGGTTGTAGTGATAAAATGATATGCCAACAAGATACCCCGCAGCTGTGTAGAGATACCCTGTTACATTCCGGTGAAGAGTATTCCGAACAACTACAGGCATCATATCTCTGAATCCTACAGTTCAAAGCCAGATCCCTAAACCCCACCCTACACCCTAAACCCTGAACCCTGAAGCCTAAACCCTAATCCTTAGCCTGAAGATCTTGAGCTTCCTTGGGCTAATGCCAAAGCCCGAGGTAGAGCCTGCATGCCCTATACTATTATTACTATAATCATTATTATTACTATTATTACTATTGTTACTAATATTATTACTATTACTATTACTATTACTATTACTAGTACTAGTACTATTACTATTACTATTACTACTATTCTCATTATTATAGTTGAGGGTTTATGGTTGAGGTATTTGGGTTTAGGGTGCAGGGTTCAGGGTTTAGGGTGCAGGGTTTAGGGTAGCTACACACTATTCAACTTCATACTTGGGGATCAGGGCGACTTGGTAAGTGGGTTCACCTTGGGTTACTATACGGCTCATAGGGATTAGCCGTATATATATATACATATATTAAGTCCTTCTGACCCTCCAAGTGGAAAAGGAGACTAAGTGGTGATGCCGGGTTTCCTCCGTCAACAGTATAAGGACGATCGTGATGATATATCTTCTTATGGCGATTTCAGTTTCGACAGGCATGCAAGTCGCGCGAGTGTCATGTGTGCCCTTTTCATTGGTGTTTCATCATCCCATCCCAAGATAAAACCCCCTCCAAGTCAGGCACGAGGGCCCTGAAGGTACCGTTCAATTGGCTGAAGGCACATCGCAAGGTCCTACCCTTCATATGAAATCTTAGACTGGGTCAGGGCTTTGTGGGGCACCTTGCAACGGTCCCAGCATTCTTTATTGAGCTACACTCATGATCTCGTTAGATTGACCAGTGCAATCGTTCATGAAACTAACTAGCCAGGTCCATGAATCAAGGTGATGTGTAGCGTGCAGTAGCTTGGTGAAGTGACTTGAGGCGAGTTCAACGGCATAACTTGATTGGAAGGACAGTCTTATCTCATCAGTTCTTCTTGTGATTTGGATCAGCTATCCCAACAAGAAACTTCAACATGTGCATTCAAGTACTGGAAAGCAAGCCATTAGCCATCTGATTCTGAGCAAATTCATATATCCGAGGGACAGTGGTCGAATTGTATCAGCCTAACCCTAAACCCTAAACCCTCATGCGATAAGTAGTTCTCCCCAGTTCACTCTTTGCCAGATGGCTACCTTCCTTCGTGGCCATGTGGGGCCGGGGGAATTTTGTTGTGAACCCAGGGGTGGCCCCAAACCCTAAACCCTATAGTCCCCCTTAATATGGAAACTACTATAATGGGGTTATATAGGGATTATAGGGTAATATTGGGATAATGGAAAAGAAAATGGAAACCACTATTTAGTGTTTAGGGTTTAGGATTATAGTCCCCTTAAGTAGATAGAATATCAGGGTTATATTGGGGTTATATTGGGATAATGGAAAAGAGAATGGAAACTACTATATTATCATAGGGTATATATTGGGGTTATAGTCCCCCTGAAATAGATAGGATATGGGGTATGTGGGGATCTTATTATACCCAAAGCCATATTCTATCTACCTAAGGGGGACTATAACCCTAAACCTAAACCGGTATAGTGCGGAAACCAGGTATGGGCCAGCAGCTTTAACGAAGTTGATGAAGCACGTTCAGAGTCAGCAGCATGGACGCCGTGTTCGCAGATGGGGGCTTACTAAGGGATTCTGCATAAGGTAGTAGAATGATTCATGAGCAATGTGGGAGGGATTCGTTGTTGTGGTTTCTGCAGGTCGCTCTCTCCCTTAATTTCAGGAACTCTGGAACCCTAGGGGGACTATAACCCCAATATATACCCTATGATAATATAGTAGTTTCCATTTTCTTTTCCATTATCCCAATATAACCCCAATATGACCCTGATATTTGGGATTTGTTCTGCCTGGATCTTTGGGTGTATGAGGTGACGAGTGGTTGTAGCTGTGCAAGGGTTCCGGGTTTATGGCCGCATCATTCAGGGTGGGATCCTTATTCTTGCAGGGCTTAGCCCACGGCATCAGCGTATATCCAGTGAGTGGATTCACTGAAACTGTGCAGATTGTTGTGGTAATGTTAGAGTTATATTGGGGTTATATGGGGATAATGGAAAAGACAATGCAAACTCCTATGATGGGTTATATAGATCCCCAATATATACCCCATTATACAGTAGTTTCCATTTTATTTTCCATTATTCCCATATAACCCCTAAACCCTAAACCCTAAAACCTATGATGTGGAACTGGGGGTGAGCCGGGTCCTAGGCTAGCAAACAGAAGTTGCTTGGAACTCAAGGCGCTGGCGCCACAAGTTAGAGGCCCTAATTACGCCCAGGGCTCACACTCCCCCAAACTGACATGGAAACCCACATAGTTCCCCTTCGATTTTAGAAGGACTGTAATCTTTACAGGGCCCTTTTTCAAAAAAACCATGTTCGTTTCCCGGAGTGTAGCTATCCTTAACAAAAAAGTGTTTGAAACAGCTGAATAGCCCTTACAAGCCCAAACTGTCAGATTCTGCACTTTGATATGCATCCCTGAGAGGCAAATGCGGCTAAGATTTTGAGAGGCCATCAATCTATGACAGAGACCCTATTGCTGGAAAGGCCTACATCCCTTATGTGGTTCAGCATAGAATCTTGTAGTATCCATTGTCGGGTTGCTGGGGGTAATTTGATTGTGCGGAGATGAGTCGTTCAGCCCGTGCAAGTTGGTGGCTGCAGCTACATGAAGGAGATTGATCATACGGGTGATCGTACAGGGATTTGGAGAAATTCCCAAAACTAGAGACCTGCTACAACCTAGGCAGGAATAAGGCTACTGGTAACCCGAGACTTTAGCAAGACTTAGCTTATTGGCAATAACGGTCCCCGCGCCCTGCACCCTTCTGTATGCACAGGACTCTTCCACGCTCTCCCCACGTGCTTCTTCGATGGCGCTTGGTCTGGCAGCTTGAACTTGCTTAGCTGGGGATTTCGTAAAATGAGGGCCCCTGTAGACCCCAATGGATATAAAAGGGTGCGGATGATGTTGGTAGCCGCATCCCCAATCTTGCAAGGGATCCAGAGGGGTTTATGACATCAAGTAGGTTAGTTACAGTGTTTGCTCGTTGTGCAGCGTTGATGCAAAAGTCGGAAACTTGATATGCGGGATCCAGAGGCGCTTATGACATCAAGTAGGTTAGTTACGGTGTTTGCTCTTTGTGCAGCGTTGATGCAAAAGTCGGAAACTTGATATGCTGAATTCCAGCTGTGAGGGTACTGCATCAGATCCGAAGCTTGGACTCAGAACGCAGCCTTTGTTGGGGTTTTATAATGGTTGATTATGGTTTTATGATAGGGCCAATATAGGGATATAGAACCTGAGGTAGCAGGGGCGCCACGTACTGGGATCAGTTCTTCGACCAAGTGGCGGCTCAGGACAGGGCTTTTGTTTAAGAGAATTGCGGTCAGCTGATCCGCAAAAGACTTGAGGAAAGGTTGGGGGGCTTCTGCAAAAAGCATGCTTCACAGAAGCTCTGATGATCCTCAGGGAGTTTGCGATTGGGAGGCGCTAGTATTGCTGCTAAAAGACCTTGCAAGAGGTCTTGTGATTTGTGCTTGTATAATGCAGTCCTGGGCCGAGTGCCCAACTTGTGGGGGAATTCCAAACCAATAGCTCCTGACTCGATTTGGTTTTCACGTACCTTCTAGCTCAGAAGATTTTTTTGGGCCCACACACGTCTTCGTACTTGGTGCAATTGTGGGCGGGCACTTGGCAATCATATCTGTTTCGGGGTTGCCGGTCCACCGTTCTATCGGCCGGTCAGGTGGTCCATTGGTGGTGGATCCACCGGGTCGCTTGGTTGGTGTGGGCCGGTCCGTTTCTTGTTCCCTTCGTGCGGCCGGTCGGTCGGTTGGTGTGTTTGTCATTTGCTGCTGAAGCAGCCATTCCGAAGGTCAATTGGTTGGTTTGGTTCATCGGATGGCTCTTTCGAATAAACTCTTAAGCCCGAGACCATGCCCTATCTAGTAAATGCTCGACCCCCAAAAAGAGCGCTGCACCAAGTTTAAATTGTCAAAGAAATGATGGCTATTAACCCCCCCTGGCCTACCAAGCCCTATTCCCTGAAACAATTGTCCCTTCAGCCCAACTTGAATGAAACAGTGACGGCTAGCAAACGGTAAGCCCCAAAGGGAGTGATGGCACTGTGCATTCAATGCTTATTAGAGTCTTCGCTCCTGAAGGTGGCGTGTTGGGAGAGATGGCTTGCAAGAACTAAGGAAATCCCAAATCCCAAAAGGAGTTAGTGA